CCAACCCACCCAAGGTACCTGCAATCTTTAAGTCCATTACTGTAGCATTGGGACCTGCTGCACTGGCTGAAGTTGTGGGCAAAACAAAAAAGGAAATTCAATCCAACAACAAACAACTCCCAGATGCTTCTCATAGCCTTTGCTTTACACATCCCCAGCCAATCCCTCAGTGAGCCCCAGCCTCTCTGTGGTCTCTCAGGGCCAATTAGAGGCAAATAAACATTTCCTGGCAAGAGTGGAAGACAAGCAAACTATTAAATGCTGAACGCCCTTCCTCTTTCTCACAGATCAGAAAGAGACTGGGCCTAGATCTTGCAAGAATAAGTTTCCCTACAGCCAGCTTCAAAAAGGCAGTGCTGGGGTGGGCTCAAGGACTTGTGGGGACTAAATGTCAACTCTCCTGCTACAGGTCTGCCTCAACATTCTCAGAACTAAATGTCACTGCTCCTGCTACAGGTCTGCCTCAACATATTCTGGAGATCAACTTTGTCTCTGAATTGAAAGATGAAAGGGTCCCTTGGTGAAGAAGTGAGACCCCCCCTCAGCTCTGGCTCAGCCGCCCATGTTTGCACCGACTCAGAGAACGAGAGGCAGGCTGTGTACAGCTCAGAAAATCTGATCAACACAATGAATGTGACTTTCCTACAAGCCCTCAAAACTAGATTTATCTAGTGGGAGAGGATGGGACTGAGGAAAAGACCATTAGCTGAGGTCACCATACTTAGACCCCAAAACAGAGCCATCTGCAGAGCAAGTAATGCTATGACCTTAAAAGCCTGGCTCCAGAGCTATTAAGACCAAAAACAAACAAACAAAAACAAAAACAAACAAAAAAAAAGCCCCCTCTACTCTTGACACCTTGAACAAGCCCAACATCATATTCAAAAAAAAAAAAAAAAAAAAAATCAAGGTTCTGGGGGCATCCTGATGCTCTGCTGTTAAAGGAGCAACTGCCTTCCTTCCCTAAGGCTACACAAACACACCTTTCCTCAAGTATACGCCCATGCACACACACACTCACACAATTTCTCCAAGGAGGCTGACTGAACGCCCCCACCCTGGCCAAATTCTAAGACACAAGTGCCCTTTGAAGCAAAGGGGCTAGTGAAATTCCCCGAGCTGGGGTCAGCAGACCCCTTCCTTCCCTGCCCATTGCTCTCTCAGTGGCAGGGATACACACACACAGGGCCACCATGGGGAGGGTCTGCTCTGGGGCTGTCCCTCCCGCCACCAGCTCTGTTTATCTTGTCCCGGCCAGTCTCTTGGCATGGTCGAGCTTGCTGGAGCGAGAAGACTTCGGCTGCCCTGAGTCGGAGCCCTCCACTCACCCCCTTTCCCAGGCTGGGCCCTCAGCCTTGGGGCCTTCACACGTGTTAGTAGCCATTAGACAGTCAGTCTGTGTGGCCCCAGGAAGCAGCCTCTCAGTTTTAGTTTTCCTCAATCAGATTCAGGTCCAGGTCCCCAAAGTCCTGCTGGCACAGTGTCCGCTTGTTTAGTGCCTGCCGTCCCCACCGCACAGCCCCCTCTTCTTCCTCTTCACTTTCACTTAGCACGTGGGATGAACCCTCAATAGGACTGCAGGAAGCAGAGAGAGGTGGGGGGCTACAGGCCATGAACCATGGTGGAGAGATGCTGCTACCTTCTCGAGCTGTTTCTTGGAGACAGAGACCTCCTGAGTATGGTTTCTGTCAAACAACAAAGACAAATTTTAATTTCCCAAAGTAACCTAAAATTTAAAAAAATTTCCATTGATTATTTTATGTATTTTGGGTGTTTTACACAGAACAATGCCTGCAGAGGCCATTAGAGGGCATCAAATCCCCAGAAACTAGAATTACACTATGTGGGTGCTAACAATCAATTTCAGGTCCTCTGAAATAGCAGCTATGCTCTTAACCACTGAGCCATCTCCTGGCCCTCCAAAAATAAATTTTAAAGTGTCCCTCTCAATTACACTTGAAGGCAGAAATTCTAGGCTTTAGAGTGAGGTTCCAAACCATAAAATTTGGAACATTTAGTATACATGTACATTCTCTGAGGAAAGAACCACAGTTCCCACTTTTAATCCTAGCACTCGGGAGGCAGAGGCAGGCAGATCTCTGAGAGTTCAAGTCCAGGCTGGTCTACATAGTGGGTTCTAGACTACAATAATGAGATCCTGTCTTAAAAAAACTAAACCAAACCTATAACAAAGCATAGAAGCCTGGGGGCTGAGGATTAACAGTGGCAGAGCACGTGCATAGCATGTCTAAGGACACAGGCTCACTCATAAGCACCACAAAAGAGAATGGAATCTATGAGGATGATTGAGCGTGATGGTATCTAAAGGCTCAGAGCTCAGAAGGCTGAAGCCAACCTAGGATAAATAGAAAGACCTTATCTTTTTGTTTTTGGAGACAGGGTTTCTCCGTATAGCTTTGGAGCCTGTCCTGGAACTTGCTCTGTAAATCAGGCTGGCCTTGAATACACAGAAATCCAACTCCCTCTGTCTCCCTAGTGCTGGGATTAAAAGTGTGCACTACCACTGCCCTTCGAAAGACCTTATCTTAAAAAACAAATAAAAACTATTTATAAGCTCCATGCAGTCAACAATACCATCTGCTTATTTGGCCACTCTCTGTTCTGCCAGTGTCTAAGCAGAATCAAGGACATGGATTTTGCCATGAATGCTTCCTTGAATGGCTGGGTGACTAAAGGAACAAATTCTCAGAGACCTGTGACCAAGTGATCGAGAAAGAAAAATATGGAAAAAGTAGACAAGCTGCTCTCAGGCTAGGACTTTAGTAAAGTGCTTGTTAAGCTTGTTTAAGCCTCCAAAGTATCACATGAGGCAGTGAAGTGCAGGGGGTAGAACTAACCCAGAACACAAGAGTAGGCATTGGTGACAGGACTTTTGTGGCTTAAGAGTCCTCTGAGAGAACTGCCTCTGGTAGAACAATTAGGAATCCCTGTCTAAAGGTTTAATGTCTCAGTCTAGTTTCTTTGAACACCAAGGACTAATCTGACAGGACAGGAGACTTTAAAGGTTAAAACTCAAATAGTTCCAGGCAAGACAGAATGGTCCTCCTAGAATAAACTCTAGAGAGAAGAGTTTCCAGATATACCTACAAGGAAGGTGGTGCTAGGAGATGTTTCAACAGTCTTTCCACTCTGTCCATGCTCTTCTGGTCTACCAGTCTCACCTGATTCATCTTGTCAAAGTCCAAGGAAGGCCGTAGGCGCCGGGAGTCCTCTTCATGACGCCGCTTGACCCCAGTTTTGCGGGCATCCAGGTCACAAGGCTGCGAGCGGCTTCGGGGAAGATTTCGGAGACCTCGAGGTCTCCAGGGCAGCTCGGGGGAAGATGCAGGGGAACTCCGGGCAGAGGGCAGGAAGCGGCTTGCCTGTGGGCCCAGGCTGGGTGACAGGGAGAAGCGGCGCTGGGGTGGGCAGGGTGACAGGGACTCAGCATCACTCTCCCAAGAACCATTCTGAGGGGAGGTGGCGCAGGTTTGAGAGGAATCTTGGGCCAGGGCCAGGCTGAAGAAAGGAGGGCTGTAGGGTCTGTGGGCTGGGGCACATTGAGAAGAGGCACTGGGAGCTTGGAGGAACCTGAGGCTGGAGACCCGCTTCGGGGGGCTCTGGTGAGGCACCTGCGGCCCACCCCCTCCAGCACTGCCCCGGTGCTTGATGGGAGTCCACAGCTTGGAGGGGGCGGGCCGCCACACTGGCTGCCAACGAGACAGGTCCACAGGCACCGAGAGTGAGCGGCAGTGCCTCTTGGATGGAGGAGCAGGGGGCACAGGAAGCTTCTCTGGGTCTGGGGGTTCAGGTCTTAGTACTTGGGGGAGGGGCTGCTCCTGCGGGGACGTTCCCCGACTGGGTGGTCTGAGGTGCAGGCTTAGGCCTGAGGGATGGTAGCTGAAGTTGAGGCTGTCCTGGAACTCAGCACAGGAACAGTGGGGCAGGCCCCTCCAGGAAGCACCTTCTGAAAGGCATTCATAATAAAAAGTATTAACAATAGCGAACATATGATAAGAGCTTATGCATCACGTAATGCAGTCAATACTTGGTGTGGCTTCACAAAAATCTTCATGGAGGTACCATGATTATCCCTTTTTTAGATGACTGCAGCCTAATTGGCTCCAAAGCATGTAGCTATCAAATGAACAAAATAGGATTCAACCTTTACTATGCTACCTTCGTCCTAAGAACATCCTCGAATAAAGAACATTTACACAGTCTGCCACTTCTCTAAGGTGAAACCGTGAAGAGAAACCTGTATGTCTCTGTGTATGACCTACTCACCCCCAATATTCTAGACCAATCATATCTACAACCCAGCTCTCCCTGCTCCCAGCCTGCCTTCTGAAAATCAGGCCTATGTTCGCCTTCCCTGGTCTTTTCCTCTTACATGTCACCAGGACCAAGGAGGGCAGTGCTGTCTAGTGGAAGTAATCAAGCAACTGCTTTTACTGCTAGAGAAGGCAAGGAAGATGTTGGTGGTCGATGGTAGAACATGTGCTAGAAAAACTCTAAGATTCTGTATTATTTTTGTTCTTTTATGTCTGTGCGTATACTCTGGTTCCCTTCCCCCTTAGACCTTCAGTATAAATTTTTGGAAAAAAAAAAATTTTTTTTTTTTTTTTTGAGTCTAGCTCTCACTATATAGCCCTGGTTAGCCTGAAACTTGCTATGAAGACCAGGCTGACTACAAACACACAGTGATCACCTACCTCTGCCTCCTAAGTGCTGGGATTAAAGGTATATACCACCATGCCAGGCTCTGGGCCTTTTAATGTCAAGTAGATTGGAGGAACAAGTGGGTATAGTAGCTCAGACCTATAATCCCAGAATTCTGGAGAAGCAGGAAATGAGTTCATGTAATTATTTGATAATCACATGTTGAATTTGAGGCAAACCTGGGCTACATAAATAACATAAAAGCAAACTTCCTATGTCTGACAAAGATAAGGGAAACAGGCTAAAAGGAATGATCCTTACTCACTACATTCCAACCAAAACTGTAACTTTTGGAGAGTGGGAGAGTGAGTGAGTGTGTGTGTGTGAGAGAGTGTGTGAGCGTGTGTGCGTGTTATGTGTGTATGGGTGTGTGTGTGCATGTGTTCGTGTGTGTATGTGTGTACATGTTCATGTGGGTATGGGCAAGAGCCCACATACGTTGACCTCAGAGGTCAACATCTGGTCTTGCTCAATGGCTCTCTACCTCATTTTACTTTTAAATTACATTTTATTTATGGGTATATGCATGTGTGTGTGCGTGTATGTGTGTGTACCAACACCACAATCATGTGTATGAAGATCAGAGGACAACTTGGGAAGTCATGTGGGTCCTATGGATGAACTCAGGTCATCCAGCACTTTATGACAACCTGTCTGCTCCCCCCCCCCCCTTTTTTTATTTTTTTTTTGGTAGGGACTCTCACTGAACCGGTCACTCATCAATTTGGATAAGCTGGCTGGCCAACCTGTCTATACTTCTCTAGGCACTTGAATTAGAGACTCTGCCCACTCCAGGATTTTCTGTGAATGCTGGAGACCCTGACAAATCCAAACACTCATAACGCAAGCAACCATTTTTCCAGCCCCCATCCCCCAACAGTGTCTTTTTTTGAGACAGGGTCTCATGTAATCCGGCCTCAACCTTGCTATATAACCAATGCTGACCATGAACACCTTTTATCTTACTGCCTCTACCTTCCCACATAAGATAGATTTGGGGGAAATAGCTCACTACAGGACAATGGGCCTATTCCAAGTTTTCTCAGTAATTCTTTAGAAAGGGCACAAATAAAAGTATTTAAATCAGACTTGATGACAGCAAGTATTTGGTCAACAGTTCTTCACCTTACTAACTTTCCTAAGGCAGGATCATGGATCCTTATGACATAATACCTGGCTTTCAACAAGTGCTTAAGAGAAAGAGAATGAATGCAACTGCTTCTGCCAACTCACCTCCCTTTCTGGGTATCCCAGAAAAGGAGACATGTGCAGTCTTTACATGGGTCAGACAGCTTCTGTCTGTCTTTTTATGCTCATACTCATAGGTCCTGAGATTAATTCATACTATAGGAATTTACATTGCAGATGCTTTTTCACATATCAAAAATAACCTAGGGACAAAGTTATTCACGACAGTTCTGGGTAGGGTATAGAAAACTAGTCTGGAGAGGTGGCTAGTAGGTGAGAACACTTGCTCTGTAAGCATGAGAACCAGAGTTTAGATCCTAGCACGAATAGCCAGGCATTCCCACCTAAGTCTGTAGGATGGAGACAGGAAGTTCTCTGAGGCTTGCTAGCTGCCAGCCTACCTCTAGGTTCAATGAAAGACTGTGTCAAAGTAGTGAAGCAGAAGGATAGAACAGAACATCTGACATCCTCCTTGGGCTTTAGTGCAATAGTATCCATACATACACATGTGCATATATAATACATGCACACACACCCCAAAATTAGAAGACTGCAAACTGCCCAAATCTCCATCAGCAGGGATTAGGTAAACTACTACAGATCCATGCAGTGTAGGAATGTACAATTACATTAAACAGGAAAACGCTCAGCACAGACAGGGAAAGGCACTCAGCTGCACTAAGCTATAATGAAACACAGACTAGCAGAAAAAAATACTGCGGATAGACTTATATTTGCTTCTACTTGTATATAGATATCCAGGTGCTAGTGAGATGGCTCAGAGAATAAAGGTGTTTGCTGCCACGCCTGATGACCTGAGTTCATCCCTGAGATCTACACAGTAGAAGCAAAGAACCAATCAACCCCCACAGGCCATGGTACACATACCCACACCCCTCCATAAGTATTATTTTAAAAAACTAGAAATTATGAGTTAAGTCTGGTAGCATAGACCTGTAATCCCAGAGGCTGAGGCAGGAGGTTACAAAGCCAAAGTCAGTCTGTGACATTTAGAAAACATGATAAAAAAGCAAGCTGGGCATGGTGGCACACACCTGTAATCCCAGCACTCAGAAAGTGGGGGCAGAGGATCAAGAACCAACATCAGCCTCAACTACAGAGCAAGTTCAAGACAAAATAAGAGAGTTGAAGATGCAGTCCTGCTGTGGAATAACCCTTCTGTACACTATAAAGATGTGTTGCTCTCATTGTTAATAAAGAGATGGCTAGCCAATAGCTAGGCAGGAAGAAGTTAGGCAGGAGAGCCAAACTGAGAGGACACTGGGAAGAAGGGCAGAGTGGAGGATTCCCCAGTGAGAGCAGAGGGATCAGGAGATGAACATGCCCTGATGAAAAAAGGTACTGCCATATGGTAGAGTGTAAATAAGAAATACGGTTAGATGTAAGATCAAGTTAGTAACAAGCCAAAGCTATCAGCCGAGTATTTACACTTAATAATAAGTCTCACTGGGCATTGGCGGTGCACACTTTTAATCCCAGCACTTGGGAGGCAGAGGCAGGTGGAGCTTTGTGAGTTCAAGGCCAGCCTGGTCTACAGAGCAAGTCCCAGGACAGGCTCCAAAGCTGCACAGAGAAACCCTGCCTTAAAAAATAAAAACAAAAACAAAAACAAACCCAAAAAGTCTCTGTGTGATTATTTGTCAGTCCTGTAACAGAGTGCTTACTTAGAATGTCTTAGTCCGAGGTTCAATCCCAAGTACTACCAGAAAAGAAAAAAAAAAATTCTAGTTGGATATGTATACAAGAAACTAGTCAACAGAGCCCAAGCAAGAAAGCTCAACAGATAAAGGTGGTTGCTGTCAAGCCTGATGACTTTACTTGGATCCTGAATCTCTAGAAGCTTCATGGTAGAAAGAGAAAACCAACTCCCGAGGCAAAGTGTCCTCACCTCCACACATGCACTTGGCATTCATGCGTGCACAGTCCCCTGCACCCCATATAAAAAAGAGAACAAGAAATTTATAGGTCAACAAGATGGTTCAAACGGTAAAGGTACTTCAGGCCAAGCCTAATGGCCTGAGTTCAGTCATCCCCAGGACCCATGTGGTGGGAGAGGTCTCATTCCTACAAGTCATTCTCTGACCTCCACATACTATAGTACACATTTGCATATATTTTATATAATAAACATAAAAAAACCCTAGTAATAGGAGCTGCCTCTCCATGTCATACATAGTTCTTAAGAGCAAAAGAAGAGCCTCACATATGCCGGCCAAATGCCCTGTTACTGAGCCACAGCTTTCAGAAGTTGCTTTTAGGAAGGAACTGGAAGCTAACTAGGAGCTAAATGGTTTGGAAACAGGAGACGATGACTTTTATCAACATAATATTTTTGCTATTTTTAAACTATGTAAATGTATTACTCATCAAAGCAATAACATTAGAAAAATTAAACTGATCTAAGCTCACACCTGTAACCCAATACTCAATAGCAAGACTTTTAAGAGTTCTAGGTCAGCCTGGGCTACAAGAGCCTGCCTCAAAAACTAAAGAGCAAACTAAACATGATTTTCCTACAAGACAGTAAAATAGAGATAAATAGCACTCTCAGAAGGTGGCCTTGACAAAAAAACAAAAAAAACAAAAAAAAACAAGCTGGTAGCCGGTGGTAATAGTGGCACCAGTGGCACGTTTTTAATCTCAACACTTGGGAAGCAGAGGCATGTGGATCTCTATATTCAAGGACACCCTGATCTACACAGAAAATTCCAGGACAGCCAGGGCTACACAGAGAACCCCTGTCTCAAGAAAAACAAAAACAAGTAAAACCAAAACAATAAAGCAAAACAAACAAGCTGGTGTGGTGGCAGGACACCTTTAATACTACCAATCTGGAGCAAGAGGCAGGAGATCTCTGTGACTTCAAGGCTAGCCTGGTCTACAAAGTGAGACCCTGTCTCAAAACAAAACAAAAAGACCACCACAAAAACCAGAGGTAGGCTAACCAGTTCTAGTCATTAAAAACTAATCAAGGAAATGTGTCGACAGAAGCACAAACAAACATACATATATAAACCACAGATTCCTTACCAGACACAAGCTGGAAAGGGTTCCCACAGTTGGATATGTCTGCATGATCAGGCAAAGGCTAAGAGAGAGATTATCCATCATTATTTGGGTTCATGACATGGACATTTCTAGAGAGACCTCATACATTATTCCTATTATTCGTGGACTATCAGGATATTAGAGATTCCTGTGTTGTTCTCTTTCTATTGTGTTCCCAAAGTTGGTGAGAAACAATCCACACCTTCAAACATTACCCAAATTTTAGTGTCCCTGACCCTTTCCTCTTGGGCTGGGTTTTGAGCCATTAGTGGGGCTTTTCCAGTACAAGCACGTTTCATACAACACAGAACAAGGGTAAAATCATAGCAACAAACAGCCTCAGGAAAAAAGGGGAAAGATCATGAAGAAGCAGAAATACTGGTCTTTTACCAGACTGATGCTGAAGCGTGTGCATTTCAGCTCATCCAGAGTCTGCTTCTGTAGCTGCTCAGTGATCAGGGTTATCATGTTTTGCCCAGGATTTGACTTGTACACTTTGGAGCAAATGATGGATGTCTTCCCTGTCGTTCTTCCAGATCTCACTCGTGAGCCGTCTTCTGCCACTGCAGCACCGTTCTAGCACCATTGGGACTTCCCTCTCCAGTCATGCCTGCTGAGTCTGCCAATTACAGAGGGGTTGGCCCCAAGTAACATTAGAGATATACCTGGTGCAGAGATAGAAAATACATGGCACACATACCACGGCATCCCTATACCAGACCTCTGGCAGACATCATTAATTGATCATAGCACACTCCTGGTAAGCCTAAAGATAGCCTCAGAAACACACTGAACTTGGCACTCTAGATACCCAGTAAAATAAACTGGAGTTGGCAAATTGAAGCCTGTTTACCATCCCTAACCTGGCTTATGCTGCTCTATTGTGTCTATTTAGACTATCAGCACCACTTAGAAAACAGCTCAAATAAGAGAGATGTCCAAATGGTTACTTCCATACTGAATTAGCGCAACATTCTCTTTATCTTACAGTGAGAAGCCAAGAAAGGAACCTTCTCCTAAACCACAAGGGCTTAGTGCAGGGAGAGGAAAAAGGCATGGCTTTCTGCTTCAGATCAGAATAGGATTTGAAGTCCTCCTATGGCCTAAATATCTGATATATCATTATTCCCCAGTAGATACTGTGGGTACTCTCTTATACAATGAGAAGGAATGGTCAGGGTGGTTCCCATTACATTTCAACTATACAGATATTAAAAACAACTCCATGACTTCATTCAGCCAAGTTTTTTTTTTTTTTTTCATGATCCCACTCAAAGACCATGGATATAATTAACCAAGATTCTTCCTTATGACTGAAGCAAACTACTTTTTATCAAAGAGCAAGCTTCAAAATCACACACATTTACTACCTGAGGGGCCGTGGCTTGCTCAGGGAGGAGGTCAACATGTTTTTCTTCTACCTTTTCCATGAATGACCAACAGAGTACAAGGAGCATTAACTAGTACCAAACAATCAACCAGCAATCCCACACACCTGGGATCCCAGCACTTGGGAGGTGAAAGCAGAAACAAGAGCTCATCAAGGCCAGCCTAGGCTGCAAACCCTGCCACCACCACTACCAAGTCTTACTTCAACTTGCTCAGACAGTTTTGGCTAACCACATAACATTCCTGCTTACCCATACACAATATTAGTCTATCACAAGAATGAGGCTATATGACATATCAAACTGTACAATACCTTACCAACTGGCCTATAAAAACAGGAGCTTACATAGGCTCTTGTTTCTTATCTTTCCTGCTCGATGCTATGCAAAGCCTTGGCATGCCCGAAGTGGTGATATCATCAAAGAAAGCAATAGGGTCTGTCTCTGGCTGGATGTCATCACCCCTCACTTGCTCACCAAGGAAGAGTGTAAGGGCTTGGCTCTTCTTCCTGTGACCTTGGGGAGAAGCCCACCCCTTACCAAAAGAAAAAAAAAGGGGGGTATCATCTCAAAGGAAGGCAACAAAGAAGAGCAAAGCACCCTAGGATGTATTTGGAGTTCTTTGGAAGAAAGGTAGAGAAGTCAATCATCACTATAGTTAACTATCATTTCCATGCATAATTATTACTACCATTCCGAACAAAGTTTCAGCTTCCTGAGAACTCCCTTCAGCTGCTTCCCCCGTGTTCTGGTGGGAGAAGCTAAAGCTTGAATCACTTCTGCTCCTATTTTCGTAACTCTGTCCTCAAAAATCAACAAGGGAACCTAAGTGGAGACTTTTACCCTAGAGACCCCAGGCTGACCAGCTATGAGGAGCAGGGAGTGAAAAGCTTCCAATCCTTTCATAAGGCATTTGGACAAACAGCAAACTCCCAGCCCTCTCTAGGAGCAGCTGAAGAGAGTGATTTTCTATTTTTCTGCATTTTAATTGTTGGGATGTGGCCACACACAGCGGTAATTGGAACAATGCAACTACCACCACGCAACTGATACTCTCAGCCTGAGTTTCCTAAAACAGGCCAGGCTGAGAGGGGGAACAGAACGGAAGCCATAAGGAATCAAACCAGGACACAAAAGAAGGCAAACCAGCTCTGCAAGGGGGCCTCCTCGTTCCCAAGCAGACATTAAAAAAAGTGTGAGAAGGCCTCTCTGGCGGCCTTCATTCCCCTTCCATTTTGTGTATCTGAAGGGTAGACAGCCCTCAACATTCACTAAACAAGTTAAAACTTCTCAGCTTAACATTGCTGGCACAATGTTAAGCATTCACTGAGCAGCAGGCCGCTCGGCCCTCCCAGCAACCCCACCAGGCCTAACTCTCAATCCAGGATCTCCCTCCTCCACCAGCCCCCTAAGATAACGTCTAGACCCCCATGCCTATTGGATGAATGTAACCCCTGACAGTTGTGTTTCAGGGATACTGAGGCTGTGCTGAAACCTGGACAACCTAAGATCTAGTCAGGCCAGAGGAAAAGAAAGTCATAAATTCCCTGGGGGCATTCCCCCCAGGTCCCAGTCCCAAACCTCTGGGAGAAACTGAAGAAAAACATAAGCCAGGCAGGGAGGTGCAGAAAAAGATAAGTGGGCATCAGACTGCTCTTCTTCCATATGGTTCTGGTGAAGATAGGGGTGACAAGTGGGGTGCACCCATCCCCCCCACCACGACGAAAAAGCAAACGGCTAGGCTCCCTCTAATCTTCAACCTCTCCCTCTGTTGCCCTGCCTGTCCCCGCGGGGTG